ATCCTTCTTACCTCTTCTAGATTCATCTCACGTTGAAGAACCTGATTTCTGTGGGCGATACACCCATCCGACAGCGAGGAGTGTCCAGATCCCTTTGCCGACATCAACACGACCTGCTGCAGCTGTTGGTGTGTCCGCGATCTGGTTCTGCTATTTTCCCGTTGAGCACCTCCTTCACGGCTAGCTTCCTTTTCTTTCGAATAGCACTCTCTTAGATCTTTTTTCCTTTTCTCTCTGAAATCCCTAATTCCCAACAACCGAGCAGAGCTAATTTCTTTTTGCTCTGTCTCTTACATATCCCCTGTTTTACCCATATCCTGCTGCACCGGGTGCCCTGTTTCCTGCACTACAAGCCCACTTACACACAGGCCTCTCCCCTTCTCAACTTCTAGCCTTTCACACGAAGGCTCCTTCAAGCCCGTTACAACTCCAGGCCCATCTGGCCCATCCTCCTTTTCTCTACCCACTTCGTTGCCAGCCTGTCCTTCACCTGGGTTTAAATACAAAATTCCCTCCTCGTGTAACCGCTCCTCATCACTGTCATCTTCATCAGTGCCGCGAATCACGTCAAGCCTTAATTCATGATCCTCCTCACCATTAACCGACGAGGAAAATTCGGAACCTGACTCCGATTCTGTTTCCGGCGCATCCCGTCGATCTTCATCAGCCAACCACCAGTCCGGGTCGGCGCGCCATTCTTCCTCCGCTAGCCTGACCTCAAACATCTCATCCTCCACCTTTAACTTAATAATTTTGGAAATTTTGTGCTTATCAGAACTTAAAATCAGTACTCGTCCATCACACAAAATAGACTTCGATTTTGTATCTTGGTGAACCATCACCACTTCCCCTACAGAACCTCCTATCGTCTGAAAACATCGGTCACACCATGCTTTCAACGGAACTCCCGAAACTCGTAGCCAAACCATACGAGCACTCTGCTGTGTAGCCATTGCCCAGGGATTAATATCCTCACACCAAAGATCAAATAAATCCTTATGTTGTTGTAGATACTCACCCAAAACTCCCTTCGAACGCTCAGTGAGCAATAAACTCCGTCCACCCAGAGGTGAGATATTGATCAAACCTCCATCCACATCTATTCTATCTTGAATATTAGAGATCAGTGACATTGATCTTACCACTGCCACCATACTCCCCTCCAGCCACTGCTTTTCCTCATGTACTGGAGAAAATTCAATGATCTCCTCCCTCATACTCTCCACCCTTACATTTCCCGTCTTAACTGCTGCACCACTCACCGCAGGGATTTCCGGCATCATCTGATTGCTAGAAACTCTATCCACTGCTTCCCCTTCCGGCGGCCCGTCAGCTGTCTTAATCTGAGCCTGATCATCCCCTGCCTTCGAAGAATGACCCAGAACTGCCTGAACAAAGGACTTCCCCGGTTGTACATATCTTTGTTCTCTAATATTTACCTGCACTCCTGTCTTCCTCTGAATACTCAGCCGATGCTGCCCCCTATCTACCGCTAATCTAACCCTTAGCTTATACGATCCAATCCATATCCTATTCAGCTTCTCCTCCACTTGTTTCACATCTTGCACCCCTTCCATCCTAACGAAGCCAAACCGTTTCCCCCTTCTATCCCTCTTCCCTGGCACAAACACATCAGCCACCTTTCCATACTCCTGAAAATGATGCCACAGAGCCTTTGCATCCCAACTCTCTGGAAAATTGTAGAAGAAGAACGATTCCACCTGTCCCTTTCGCCAGTACCCATACTCCGCAAACCTCCGGTTGTACCCTTGCCGCCTGCTGCCGCTGCCACTGCCCCAAGACGCGTCGCCTCTCGCCCTAACCCTAGTACTCGCCATAATTTTAAGTAAATTTGTTATTCTTATTTAATTTTAATTAATTTTT